TGAGGTATTTGCTGTTTTTGACAATGATGACAATGCATATCATTAAAGCAAGTCAAAGTAGGAGAATAGCAATATGGCAACTCTTGTGGAATAGCCAGAAACTTCTCAGACTGCATAGAAAACACTCTCTGGAGAATACCCAAACAATTTAGAACTCATCTGAGGAGATCTGGAATTCCAGGAGATGGTTCTACGCAGAGCAAGAAAAGGGTAGTTTTATAACAAATATCCTGGCCATTTTTTAGTCTCATCCTGGGGTTATGTGGCCTGGGGAAGACTGCAGGTGTACTTCAATGATATAGGTCAGAAATGATAAGGATTGAAGCAAAGAAGGAAGAGTGGGAACTAAGGGGAGGTAATAGATACAATAAGTGGTTAAAAGGAAAATTGCCAGAGTGTAATAACTAGGTTTAGAGAGTATGGGAAAAAGAAGAACCTTGTGTTACATCCTGATCAATGATGGTGCCACTAACCAAAATAGAGAAGTCAGAAAGAGAAGCTTGAATGGGTAGATGATGAATTCTGATCTGAGGCATGTTGAGTTTGAGGGGCCTGAAGGTCATTAAATAGAGGTACATTTTAACATCTGTGACAGAAGAGATACATTTAGAAGCTATCTAAATGTATATAGATTGCAAATGAAACCTTGGGAAGTATACTGAATAATAAGAGAAACGATAATTGAGTAATGTCATTAATTCTATACTTGGTAACTAAGTGATTATGGACACTAAAAGACTTTTCTATGTCTAAATATCAGTGAATATAGGTTGTTTGGAGAGGTCAAAACCAAAACTGAGGTTAAAAATCAAATAGTGTGATCATGAAAGGCACATGGGTAATGTGATAATATCAAGAGGTACAACAGACACTTTAACGAAATCCCTTTGGAAGGATAACTCATGTTGGAATCTGTTCATAGATGAGTATCAAATTAGGAAGATACTCTGATATTTCAAAGCCTAATGGACTGAATATTTTCAGCACTTCAGTCTCTTCCAAGTGACTCAGCACTTGAGAAAAGCCAAGTCACTGGGGAAGAGGCTGATTCCAGGTAATCTTAGGACTAAGCTCAGCTGTCAGAACAGGGGAAGTTCCCTTTTGCTTAGAAAAATGAGAATGATATCAGAGTTGTATTAAAAGTACAGTTAAGATGAATCATCATGATCTAGCACAATTTCAACTTGCCCTACAGCACATCATTCAAGTTAATTATAAAGTTTTTCTGCAATCAGCCATCTTTCTATTCTTAAACCTTCTAAATGAGTTTTCCTTCTGGCATAAAATTTCCACTATAAGAGTTGTTGAGTCATAAAACTTTACAGCAACCATAGACCTTAAGGTTTAACTAGCTTAATCCCTTTAATTAGATGATAGTTAAGTGTAGAAAGGTTAAATCAAGGATTTCCAATCAAATACTTTCTGGGATTAGGTAGGTAACAATAATGAATGCATCAGGTCTTGAATCTGCTTCTTAAACACCCATTTTTCACTTCAGTATGAAGTATGCCCCTCTTTTGCTTTTCGTAAAATCATGTGGCCTTGATGTTCTAACTCCCGTCTCTTCAATACAGATATGGAAACAAAATATTTCTAACTGTCAGGAAAAGAAACACTTGTTATAAGCAGGGTGAGAGATATGGCTTTAGTGCTGGGAGTCAGTAGGAAGCTAACTGGATGATGAACTAAACAAGTTCCATCCATAAGGGTCAGCTTCTCCCCAATTGCAGTCAACAGTTATCTTGAGGGATTGTAAACTTACTGCTTCCAGACCTCCCAAATATATTTACTTCTCTTTTTCTCTCTGTTGTCTACAGGCTGCTTCCTGTTGTTTACACAGACTTTTAACTCAGCTCTTGAAACTAGGCTGTTGATCATAATGAAGGCACAAATAACTTTCCTAGAGTTTCCTTGTAATTGAGTACTGTTGGTGTTTTTATGTATTTCAGATGAATGTAGAACATTCCAGATTTCTCCACCTTAGATCATTTGGAATTTAACACTCCTGTTTCAGTTCTGTCTGCCCCTTCCTGTTTCTTTTCTTATAGACTTCCTTTCTTTAACAAATTTAAACATCAAACCAAACAGATTTTAAACAATCATGTAGTAGTTTCTTCATAGTAAATAATGGCTTAAGTAACCAGAGAGGCATGATGGGACAATTTTTCTAGAAGTTCATGGTTTAAAAATGCACATGAGAACCAGAAACACTTCAAACATGCATTTATCTCTCAGAATATCTGTTTGAAACTAGAAGTTTACCAGTGTCAATAGACTGTAGGTAAACCCCAGATTAAAACCCAGGTATGTGACTGTATTACTTGTCTATTGCTGCATAACAAATTACACCAAATTTTAGAAACATAAAACAACACACACTCATTATCTCCCAGTTTCTGTGGATCAGGAATCTGGGTACAACTTAGTTGAGTTCTCTATTTCAGACACTCTCATGAGGCTGCAATCAAGATATTGGCCAAGGTGGTAGTCTCATCTTAAGGTTCAATTGGAGAAGGATCCATTTCCAAACCCATTTATGTAGTTTTTATCAGGGCTGTTGGATTGAGGGCCTCAGTTTCCCACTGGCTGTTAGTTGGAGGCCATCCTCAATGCTTTACCACATGGGCCTTTCCATGATGGCAATTTGCATCATAAAAGCCAGCAAGAGAGTATACTAGCAAAAGGGAAATCACAATCTTATGTAACCTAATAATGGGCATGACTTACATTATGTTTGTCTTATTATATTGGTTATAAACAAGTCATTAGATTCATTCCACATTGAAGAGAAGAGGATTATACGAAGATGTGAATTCCAAGAGGTTAGCATCATTGGAGGCCATTTGAAAAGTTTGTCTACCCCAATATGGTTCCAAATATACTTTTTACTATATTAAGTAGAGCTTAACTACATCATACCTAAGGAATTTTAACTTTATTTTAGCCCTTAAAATTGTTGGGAGCATTGGTTGATAGAGATTTGTTAGTTCAGATAACACTGGCTGCTGTAACAAACTCTAAAATTTCACTGGCTTAACACAAACGAGTTACTTATTGCTAATATAACCGTGTAATGTGAGTGTTTCTGATCAGGTGGGTCTCTTCAAAGTGGTGATTCAGGGACCTAGGCTCCTTTCATCTTGTTATTCCACTATATTCAAAATGGCTTCTAAGGTCATCCTGGAGGTTGTCTCTGTTCTAGGAATCCAGAAAGGGGCAATAGCGTAAACAATAACATCTGAGAGGTCAGACCTGGATATTGTGCTTCCACTCAATTTCCATCAGCTAGCACTCACTGGCAATTTCTAACCACAAGGGAGTTTAGGAAGTGTAGTCTGCCTATGTGTCCTGGAAGAAGCGAAATTCGTTTGGTGAATAATTAACTAGTTTCTGTCACAGAAGCTTTATAATACAAACGTTAACGAAGAGCCTTACTATATGCCAGACACTATGTTAAGATGTTGGAGATAAATACATGAATGAACAAATATTTGAAGAATATCCTTATTCTCATAATTTCTTTCTTTAATTTCTGTGTATTTCCCCCTAATTTACTTCTCCATTTCCTTATAGTTCCCTTTCTTATTTTTTGGTAAACTGTCACTAAAGACAGCCATCAACAATTTCTCCCAAATTTCATGTATATGATGTTCCTTTCATTTAGAAGTGGAATATATTTTCCCTTCCCTTGAATTATGTTGGTCTTACAACTTGTATGGACCAATAACATGCTGTGGAATTGATAGAGTTTAATTTCACAATACTGAGACCTAAAGAGGCTGGCACCTTCTAGTTTTCTGTTCTTGGAACCATTAGATCACCTTGCTGTAAGGTAGTTCAAGATAATAACACAAAGAAGCCTTGTGAACAAGAACCAAGACTTTCAAACTCACAGCTCCAACCCTACCAATTGTTGAATGCAGCCACATAAATGACTCTAGCAAGCACCATGTAGAATAAAATAACTGTCCATTTAAGTCCAGCCAACCCACAGAATCATCAAATATAATAAATCATTGTTGCTTTAAGCCAATAAATTTTATAGTGGTTTACTACATAGCAATAGATTATTGAAAAAAAAATTATTCATTTTCCTTTATTTCATGTTTTTCACATTTCTAGCATGTTTTCCAGATAAGGTTCAAAATAAATTACTTCAGATAATAGGAAAATAGGTGAAACGTATCATAGAGTACAAATATACATGATATAACAAGCATGAGGAGAAATCACAATACTTCAAATTATTGACGTAGTATGGGCAAAGTATTTCTTTGTCTTCTAGGAAGTGTAATCAATGATAAAATGCCAAACAAACATTGGATGCAGAATACTCCTCTCCTAGGATATGACCACTTATAGCCAATTCTGAAGGCATGTAAATATTGATAAGTGATAAGTTTTATAGTTCAAAGTGATGTGGTCATGGATACAGACTATCAATAGTAAAAGTGAATAGGGATTCAAATGACATCTCATACCTGACAGTATGGAAGAATAGATCCCAACAATTGCTGATATCCTGTCTCTCTTTGCATATTTCTCCTAATATTAACCAGCAATTTTACACAATTTAAAAAAATAGTTAACAAGAAAAAGGCTAATTTCAAGAGGAAATTTGACAGTAAAATCTAGAAATGTTGCTACCTCACATCAAAGCCTAAAAGAAAAAGACACACCCTTAGCTTGCAGAAATGGCTCTTCTCCAAGAGATGAGTACAAATGGTTTTATCATTGGTTTCCATCTAGCCTTTGGGTAAGCCTTCTGTAGTTTCCTCTGTCCTTGAGTACTCTAAGGGCATTTGCCCAGTGACCCATCTTTTTGTCTTTGGAGGTTGGAGCGGAAGTAGGGTAGGGCCAGAGCAGAGCCAGCAGGCACTCTTTATTTGCTTTTCTCCCATGACCTTACATATTACTTCATAATAGTTGCCCCTGAGTCTCTGTGCAAAAGACTGGCATCACTGAGCTTTATACCACAGTCTGTTATTTGGATGATTTTTGTCTTATTATGAGCAGATAATATCCTATGTTCAGTGTCCATGTTACAGTCAAGGTATCCTCATTATGATTAATTGCCATCAGTCAACAAGACTTGTGTCTTTGCTTCATGGGAGAAACACAGAATTGTCTCTATGCCAAAGCTCTGCAGATCAAACAAGAACCAAGGTTTGCTGAGAAAGCAGTAGGTACCTGGGGAAAAAGGGAAAGTGGTAATTCTGCTCTTAGGGAGTCACAGTGCCTGTACTTGAATGGGTTATAGGAGCTTGGGACCAAAGGCACTTTCTGCTGAAAGATCCAAAAGTTGAGAAACTCAGCATTCATATTCATATGGCAGCTGGAGCAGGAGTCATATGAAGGCTTCACTGGGCTGAACATTCAAGATCACTTTCTTCACCCACATTTCTGGCACCCCAGTGCTACTCTACATGATTTGTCTCTCTCCAGCAGAGTAGCCTGAACTTCTTTTATAGAGACTCAGAGTCAAAGCTGGGATTAGAAACTGCCAGTCCTCTGAAAAGCTAAGCCTGAAACTGGCAAAGCATCATACTTGCAATATTTAATTGGTCAAAGTAGTCATTGAGGAGCTAGATTCAAGGCAGTATAAGAATGGTTACCTTGCCGAAACCGGTTTGGCTCAGTGGATAGAGTGTCAGCCTGTGGACTGAGGGGTCCCGGGTTCGATTCCGGTCAAGGGCATGTACCTGGGTTGCGGGCACATCCCCAGTAGTGGGTGTGCAGGAGGCAGCTGATCGATGTTTCTCTCTCATCGATGTTTCTAACTCTCTATCTCTCTCCCTTCCTCTCTGTAAAAAATCAATAAATTATATTAAAAAAAAAGAATGGTTACCTCTTCTTAATGGAGGCATAACAAGTATTAACAAGAAGAAAAGTAATTGATTGTGGCCATTTTGGGGGACAAGGTACCACATGCCTCCCTTCACTCTCAAAAGTTTTCTGGCTTATAAAACAAATCTGTAGTCTTAGAAGCCAGATAGTGGTCATTCTTGAAGGAGGGATAATTATTGTCAGAAACACAGTGGGGTTACTGGGGTGTTGGGAATGTTCTGTATACTTGTCATTTGTCCATTTTGCTATATGAATGTTACACTTTAATCGAAAGTTTACATAAATTGGAAAATATAACTACAAATCAAAAAGGTGACTGGATGATAAATTAGAAGGTAACCATGACCATTACTTGGGACACTTGGGAGTTAAACTACCAGTCTTCTCCCCCCACCCCACCCCCATCACACACTAACTTTTCCCACTTTTCCAACTACTTTGAAGGGATGATGGCTTGTACAACATTTTACAGAATGAAGAGGAAGAGAGCTAGGCTTAGGTGATCAGATGGAGAGAATGGGACACTGGAAGGAAGGAGTGGAAAGCCATAAGTAGGAGGACATAGAGTGCTGAGAATGCTTAAGAGGTACTTGTTACCAGGATATGACAGGAATTAATGTTTCAATGGTCTATTCAACCAAAACTTCCTCAGCTCTCAAGAAATGTTTTGGAGTTGAGGCAGGAAACCACAAAATGTCATTGAAACAAGAAGAATTTCAAGACATTAAATAAAGGTTAAGAGGAATCTTGGCTATTGTTAATTGCTAATTGCCTACTACTTAAGGACTTCCAAAATAGACACTCAGTCGATCAAAGGAAAAATGTAACTGCAGATATGACCCTACCAAACACTCACCCATATACTCATTATGTGTACCCACATACACACAGAGGGGGAAAAGGGCAATTTCAATAAAATAAACCAATAATAATAGTACTTACAGTGTCTATTACCATGTGCCTGGCACTATTCAAAAACACTGTATTTGTAGTTGCCCATTAAATCCTCATACAAATACACAAGGCATTGTTATCATCCCCATTTTACAGATGAGAAAACGAAGGCACAGATGGTGCCATAACCTGACTAATGGATTTTTATGTTGCCATTGTGTGCACAGGACTAACTAAACCGGGCACTCAATCAGAATTCTTAGCATTAAAACATCACTTTCCAGAGCAGTTATGGAAAAAAAGCATATTCAGCTGCACAGGTAAAGTTTAAGAGGAAAGTTAGTCCAAAGCATAAAACTACAAGCCTTAGAATGTATCCATAAGTATTTTTGTCCTATTTGCTCTATTTAATTACACTCAGGGATGCAATCTCTGACTTTGTGGAAGGCTGGGAGGAAATGGTGTGTGACCACATAATCTGCCAGAGCAAAGAATAAGGGCTTCCCATAATTCCCATCTGTCACTGCTCCCCAGAATAAACAGAACGTTTGCACATGGACTAATTTTTAAAATATTGCAAGGAGCATGCCAAAGGTGCCCTGACTCATTGCTCAAAGCTGGTCACTTCTGAGCCATGATCAGCTGTTTCATCAGTGTGGCCCTAAAAGTCCCTTCATACCAGAGCAGTGACCAGCTAAATATAGAAGTTTCCCTATTTTAAAAAAGTTTCAAATGAGCTTGCAAAGGGTCATCACCACAAGTCATCAGCACAGTTCTGCAAAAACCTGGGCCAGGCCATCTGGGTGGCATTCAAATAATACTAAGGCAACCACGGCAGTGACAGTGAGAGTAGCTCCTGCTCAGTGAGGAACTCATTGAAGCAGACCTTGCTAAGTGTGTTCTTATACACACTCTCTTACTTCATGCTGGCAATTGCCCTGCATGGCAGATTTTATTATTCCCATTTAACAGATAAAAGGAAAAGTTAAAAATCGGCAAAGTATTTTAATGGACATTTCCACTAAGACAAATACAAATGGCCAATAAATACATGAAAAAGTACTAACATTAGTTGAAATGCAAATTAAGACCATGAGATATTATTACTGACCCACTAAAATGACTAAAAATGAAAAGTCTGACAATGCCAAGTGTTATCAAGGATGAAGAGCAAGTGGGACTTGCCTATATTGCTGCAGAGACTGTGAAAAGGGATGGCCAATTTAGAAACCAGTTTGGCAGATTTTTATAAAGTTTAACTTACACCCACCATATGAATCAGCTGTTTCACTTCTAGGTATTTACCAAAAAGAAATGAAAGCATATGTACACACAAAAAACTTGTAAAAGACATATATAGCAACTTTCTTCATATTAGTCAAAGACTAGTAACAATCCAAATGTCCATCAACATAGGAATGAATTAACACATACAATGAAATGCTACTAGAAATAAAAAGGAAGGCAATGGAAATTAAGGAGAAAATAAACAAATGGGACTACATCAAAATAAAAAGCTTCTGCACAGCAAAAGAAACCATCAACAAAACAACAAAAAAGCCCACTGCATGCGAGAGAATATTTGCCAATGTTATCTCTGATAAGGCCCTAATCTCCAACATTTACAGGGAACTCATACAACTTAACCAAAGGAAGATAAACAATCCAATCAACAAAATGGGCAAAGGGCCTAAATAGACACTTTTTGAAAGAGGACATACAGAAGGCCAAGAGACATATGAAAACTTGCTCAAAGTCACTAATCATCCCAGAGATGCAAATCAAAACAACAATGAGGTACCATCTGACACCTGTCAGAATGGCTATCATCAACAAGTCAACAAATGACAAGTGCTGGAGAGGATGTGGAGGAAAAGGAACACTCGTGCACTGCTGGTGGGAATGCAGACTGGTGCAGCCACTGTGGAAAACAGTGTGGAGTTTCCTCAAAAAATTAAAAATGGAACTCCCATTTGATCCATTAATCCCACTTCTAGGAATATATCCCAAGAAATCAGAAACACCAATCAGAAAGGACATATGCACCCCTATGTTCATAGCAGCACAATTTACAAAATTCAATCATTGTGGAAGATAATGAACAACATAAACTGATGAACAAAAATAGAGCCAGAGACAGAGAAGCATGGAACAAACTCTCAAACTTCAGAGGGAAGGCGGGGTAAGGGATGTCACCTTTTATTTGGAACAGAGCTCCTAAAGCCCTTATAATTTGTCTTTTGTTATGTTAATGAGGTGACCTTTTGGAAGCACCTAAGGATGAGGGCTCCATGCAAGTGGAGCCAAGATTAAAGGGTTGGAACTTTCAGTCCCTCCCCACCCCCACCTCTGGGAGAGAAAGGGGGCTAGAGGTTGAATCAATCACCAATTGCCAATGATTAATCAATCATGCCTAGGTAATGGAGGAAAGAATGTTTTCAGGAAGAGCAGCATACCTGAAGAGAACATGGAAACTCTGTGTCCTTTCCCCACACCTCACCCTGTGTATCTCTTCCATCTGGCTGCTCCTGGGTCATATTCTTTTATAATAAATTGGCAATCTAGTAAGTAAAATGTTTCTCTGAGTTCTGTGAGCCTTTCTAGCATATTCATCAAACCCAAGGAGGGGGTAGTGGAAACTTCTGATTTATAGCCAGTAGGTCAGAAGCACAGGTAACAACCTGGATTTGTGAAGTCAGGGCAGTCTTGTGGGACCAAGTCCTTAACCTGTGGAATTTGACACTACATTCAGGTAGATAGTTCCAGAATTATGTTGAATTGTGGGACACCAAGGTGGTGTTGGAGAATTGCTTGATGGTTTGGGGAAAATCCCCATATTTTAGAATTAGCACTAGAATCATTTTACCTACTCTCTGGGAGACTTGGCTTAATAATTCATTCTGGCTCAACTTCCTTCCCTCGATCTCCTGCTTCTCCACTTCCCTACTGGTTATTCTTGGAAACACTTCTTAGTAAATTGCTTTCCCAGGAATCCTCACTTCAGAATTCACTTCTGGGAAATCCAATCTAAAACATGCTCCAATTGTGAAACACCAAAGTGGGGCCTTAGAGGGCCATAGGAGTGCACTGGGGTCGGAGCAATCTTCTAAGAAGGAGCAACATTGGCATGTGCCTGTTTGTGTGCATGTACGTTGGGTGGAGGTAGGAAAGAAAGCTGTATGTGTAGGAGGATCCCTCAGAACCAAAGTGACTTTGGGAAACAGCAGAGTACAGTTTGAATGGAGCACAGTGCACACATGGGGGACATGGGAAAACATGAGGCTAGACTAGCTGTAAGGGATGGAGGTCATGAAAGTCAAAGTCAACATTAAAAACTTGATCTTCAGGGCAATAGTGAATCATTGAAAGGTCATACCCTAGGGAGTAAGGATATCAAATTTACTCTTTAGAAATGTTGTTCTGTTTGCTATGGGAAGAATATGTTTGAG